GCCTGGGGCAGCCTGCTCCAGCCCTGCGCCGGGGGATCCGCAAGGCTTTTTTTTTTCTTTCAATTTTATTTGATTTTACTCAAAGGAACGCTTCAGCGTTTCAGCAGAGCCGTGGGGAGCCAGGGGAACCCACCCCTTTTTCAGCCCAACTACTTGTATAGGAAGGGTGGCCGCTAACTCGCAGCACCCCCAGGTCTTGGGGGTTTACTCTGTTCTGGAGCCCGGACGCTTTATCGGCCGCCTTCAGAGAGCGGCTGAAAGAGCGAGGAGTCGCTCTGTGAATCCTTTGAAAAAAAGAGCTATAAAGAGACGGTTCATGGCTTCGTTTCTTTCTGCGTGTAACGCTCCCCAAGTTGTGGTGTAATTAGTATGAAACATATCTTGTCCATCCACGTTGCTTTCTTTGCATTTCAGTGAACTCATTTATCTGCTAAATATGTTGCAGGTTCCGTCTGCCACAGTGAGAGGGCTTTTCCCTTATTCCACCCCATTTATAGCTTAAAGAGAAAGTTTTAAAATAACCTGCTTTGTTCCTGTGGAGCTGTAGGATCGGACGCCAGGTTATCTCTGCGAAGAATAAAGAGCACTGGCTTGCACTGCCCTGTTAGGAGTTGCCATGCACGGCTCTTCTGTATGTTTCATTCTTACCGGGAGTTAACATCATTGCTTAAAGCATTTTAAATTGTATGTGTAGTTACAGTTGTCTCTTTCCAGCTTTTGCTTGGAGATTATCAGTAGTTTTTTTAGAGCACTAAGTACCTCACTTCTACCACCCCCCCCAGTAGACACCAGCTCAGTATTTAAAGAACCGTGCTTTGACTCCTGCAGAACTGTCAATTTAAATAATAAACATACTCAACCCCTATCCCTGAAAGCCCCGTAAAGCATTCGGGGTCTTAGGGTCTTCGCACAGCGGTGGATACATTTAAATTACTATTGACTAAATGATAATTGTTATCTGGTTTCTCTGTCTTACCAACTAGTTTCAGACATTAGCATTCAGCCTGCTATATGTTTAACACTCTAAAGCTACTTTATGAGCTGATCTAAGTGAAGTCAAATTGATAAATTAAGATTCTTTTCTGTAGCGTAGGGTAAACACTGGAAAAATAGCAGTTCAATGGTACTAGGAATATAGCTTAGCTGAAGTTGGGAAAGAGCATACTAAGGCACTTTTATCAGAGGTGGCAAAGGTTACATCTTTCATTATACTTTTTCACAGTTATCGTGCAGTCATTTCATACTGATGCCTAAATTGTTTTGTGAGTGTATAATTAACAGTAGTAAAGTAATTCATATAAATTTCTTTACTAACATTTTATTTCAGAGAGCTGATACTGCTGAGGCAATATTGAAAGCTATGTGGTTTTTGGTTTCATAAAGTCCCAATTTCCAAAACAACGGTACTGTTATTCTTATAAATGTAAACTACCTAAGTGCCATAATTTCCGTGAAAAGCTTTGCTCAGTTCGTTGATAGCAAATCAGGATTACTACTCACTGGTTCCGCATGTTGTTTGAACGTAAGGGGGCTTTCAAAAATGTGGTATTCATTTTAGATATACTGCTGGTAGTGGGTGACTTTGAGATAAAATCTTGATTCCTGTCATGCTGTTTTAATCAGAGAATGACGACTAATCTGGCAGTATCTTTTCTCATACTGGACATACGGGGTAACCTTTTTACCTGTCTCATGATCAGAGGGATCTCAGCTTTACATGTAGATGCTTGTAATGCACTTGATAATTCTGGGGGGGGAATACATGAAAAACTTGTTCTGAATGGAAGTAAATAGATGTGTGTACAGACGGATATTGGAGATTGCTTTACTGGCGGTTGCAAAGTGATGATTCATTGAATCCTATCTATATTTACATAAAGCAAATAATCCTTTACACTGAATTGTAGTGGCAGAGAAACATGTAGCAGCCAAGAAGTTTCATAATTTCATCACGGGTGATGACAGACTTGATAAAAGACATCTTTACAAATGCAGGCTATATGTTTTTGGTGAGCAAAACATACCATGGAATTTTTCAGATCTGGACATCTTCACACTTAAATTTATTGCTGGCTGTATTGCTGCTTACCAACCTGTGTAAAGCCTAAATGGTGTATTAGAAATATGTTACGTTAATTATGTTGTATGTTTACTTACTATAAATAAGTGATAGAACAATGCTAACTAGTTATCACGCTAAAGGAAATCACTGACTTTGGAAGACAGAAAATCACATTACCTAATACTCATCTACACAAAAAAGTGATCACCATCTTGAAAAAATATTCTGAATGATACAACTATCAGTGAGCAAGCAGTTCTATGCCCCTGTTTTAACTTCTGCAGGATTTTATTAGAAATGCTTCATTAAGTCACATTATTCTGCAGCTGTTTGTTCACTGAAAATTAAAATAAAAATCATGAAATTTATTTAGCAAAGCAGTATTATTTCCTTTGTTAAGTACTGAAAGTTCAAACAAAAAAAAATCCTTTAGCATCAGTGTGCCAGAAACACTGAGTACATCCTGTTTTTGTGATATATGGATGGCATTTACTGATGCAATTCATCAATGTATTTATTAGTCAAATGTCATCAAACAAAGAAAATAAATTAAAGTAAACAAAGACATCTGCATGATGATACAGAGGCTAAAGCAAGGGAAGACCCTACAAATCTAATTAATTACTATTCAGTCTCATATTTACAGTCTATATTTAAACATCTCATTTAAATGTCTTTCTCTCATCGATTTTCTACTACAGCTCCAGATAATTCAGGTAGCAATAGCTTTTCATTTGAAAACGCATTTTCCATTTGCCTTTTGAAACCCTGAATTTTAAAGGCATTGAGGCAAAAGTTGTGTTTGGATGAATATAACAGAAGGGTCCTATGCCAGCAGAGCTGAATACTGACCTGTCCCCGTTCACGACCATTTTTATGTGTTGAGGGGCATCCTCAACTGATGTAGACTTTCATTGCTCCATTGGAGTAGTTGAAGCTCTGACATTTTAAACCAGCTGGAGATTTGCTCCATTATCCTTAGATCACTGAATTTAAGTGTGCACTTTAAAAAGATTTTGCTTGCTTTTTTTTTTAGGAGGACAAAACATTTACATAGTATACTGAGCTTCACAGAATCCATTGTAAGTGCACACCTTCATATTTGAAATACTTTTTAAAAACAGAGGCCCACTCTTGGAGCTGTTTCAACCGGAAATTTGGCCCAGTGATTTGGTTTTGTAAGCCGCCAATATATACTTCAAAACACTCCTCTTCATAAGTCAGTTCAGATTTATAAAACTCATCAGACATAGGAATGAATGTGGAAATATCAACAGTAATGTTGTTCATTTTTCCTGGTGACAGCTGCAGAGCTATCTCCTTTTGCTCTTGGTAGAACTTGGGAAGACAGTGATTTTTGTGCTTTGATTCTTTATACACCCTTGCCAACCACTCTTGCTTACCATATGTAGTCAGTTATTTATCAAAAGAGAAGACAAAATAATAATGGCCACCTAATGTACTTTTTCATGCTGCTCGTGCAAAGCAGTCACATTTTTAAGATAAACAAGTCAAGGCATTTTTATAGAGCTTCTTTCATGCAGAGTGTTTTGAAAAAATGCTTTGGAGATAGAAGAGAGAAAATAAAGACACCGTGCTTTACAGTAGTAGTTATGGCAGGACACTACATACTTACATAAAATGGACAAAGTCCCTAAAAAAAGCTTTCTTAGCTTTTTCTTCTGTTTGGATATGTCAGGACACTGATTTGTAGAATGCATTGTAGCTGTAGCTATTGCTTGAAGTAGCACTAGAAAATGCTTTGTATGGATTCGATCCTTAGTCTTTGTGTGAGTAAGCACTTACAGGAGTAGTTCCTGTATCTTTTGCGGTATGGGAGAATCACTTACATAATTGCATGTGTAAAAAGTGGGAAATTGGTTTTTTTTTCCTTGTTTAAAGCTTATAAAACCTTATAATCCCTACTATGTTAATAGCTTACATTTTCCAGTAGCCTCACTTCACATCTTGCTGATCTTGTAATACGAAACTTGAACACAGGTCTCTCGGCACCAGGACAGCGTTGTATACAGCCGCCTCTACTGTGAGCATCCCTTTAACAACGCCAAGGGGAGAGCCATAGTACAGGGTAGCACACAGGTGAAAGCACACAGAGCTTTTTTTGGGCTCGTGGGTGTTTGGTAATCTTCTATGCTTAAATCACGAATTGGAGCTAAGGCCGCGTAAGGTGCTTTAGATTGACAAACTTCACAAGTAAATAAACGCACAAGCACAGTTCAACAAACCTATTCGGCTGCATAAATAGCAAAATATTAAGAAATGGGTTGGTAAGTATAAAACATTTTTGAAATAGATAACCAAAGTTTTAGTCTTGGTTGTATGCCAGCCTCTTTCTGTCTGGAAGATCTCTTGCCTTTGTTGCAATATTAAGATCCAGTATTTGAAGATGAGGTACTGGACTAGACGGACCACTGGCTTGATCCAATAAAGCAATTTCCTTCTTGAAATGCAAGGAGGCGGTATTGCAGTACTGTATATTTTAACTGACTTACTAGAACCAAACGGCAATTGCTTAGTGTACTGGTTTTGCTTTATTTTTCCCTTTTAAAAGCAGGATATAATACATTTCTGAAATAAATCTCTCAGTAACATGCAGTCTCACACCAGCTCTTTTAGAGACAGGAGCACAGACCTGACAAGTCTCTCACATTCGCAGTGATACTCTCATATTGGATTTCTTCCACTCCCCCACTGCAGTTTCTGCATCACATATTGATAAGGCAGAACTGTGGCCCCCGGTCCATCTTGCCACAAACCAGTTAGCTATGCGGCGTGTGGCCCTCCACTTGTCTCTGTCTGACATGTCGTGTCATGGAACGGGGGAGAGGGTATGGTGCAGCCCTTGGGTCACCAAATGGCTTTTCATGCTCATCCGAGCATCTTTATGCAGGACACTCTTCCTGGTTACACGCTCTCCCTGTGGCTTCTCCCTCACCATGTGAAACTACAAGTATGAGAGAACCTGTCCCAAAGCCTCTGATGTGCAGTCTCAGGCTAGGTGCCGCCTTCTGCCTCGTGGCTGTGCAAACGGGAGATCTGTGAGCACTGCATTAAAACTAGGTGCTCTAGATCCTCTTTCCGTTGAGACTTTTTCGGTGTTTGTTCCCATTTAAGATATCTGTTTGGCCTTTCGAGTTCTAGGCTCAACCATAATTTGTCGTTGGCTGTTGTGTCATTGCACTTAATGGCACTGCAGAGTAACGCAGAATGGCTTGATGGCTCTGAGGAAAGATAATGGCTTTCTGTGCCATTTGTATGTAGGAAACTGAAATTTGGATCTTTTCCAGTAAGGGATGAGAGTCAGTACCATCTGAAGCTTGCCTCATGGTTTATCTAAAATGAGTTAGTACTTCATTCAGTTCTTACTGTAGAAGTGTCCAAGTTGCAAAAGTCACCGCTAGCTGAAATTAGGATGTGCACCTGCTGTGTGCGCAGAGAGGCAAAACCTGAGTTCTGATCACGCAAGGCATTTCAGCTGTAAGCGTGTGGCTTCAATGGGACTAGTCAAATTAATTGTGTGCTTGAAGACTTTTCTGAAGCGAGCCTGAATAAACGTTGCTAACTGCTTAGAGTGATCCGTGTTGAAGGCATGTAGGTGGGGTGCTGTTGAGATGACTATGTTTGTGTCTGTATTCTGGGTATAAATTCAAGACTTGAGCTTTGTTTCGATGGCTTGTCAGTCCTACACCTTTTATAAACATTCAATCCCCTTAAATTCAGAACAGAGACTATATAACAGCAGGTAATTTTCAGAAAGATCCTACAAGTAGCTACCCTGTATTAATCGTATTAGAAACTACAATTACAATCATGTAAATGTTCAAATGTGATGTTACTGGTGTGGCACTGAAGTAAAATATCACTTTCTGACAAAGTATATCAGGCTATGGTATTCCTGCAAGAAATAAGGTCATGTTTAAAGCTTAATCGCAGAAAAAAGATCTGTTTCAGCACCATGACAGGAGAAGAATACTCTCTCTGGGCTGTGTTACCTGTGTTTATTTAGCTTCGAAATTTTTTTATCTATGTATTGTAACAAATAAACTATACTTAAATAAGATGGGAAGTTTAATCTTGAGGTCTGGTAACAGCAGCAAATAAAATGAGATAAGTTCTGGTTTATAAGCTTACTGGAATCAAGACAGAAGAAATATTGTATTTGTATGCTAACATAACATGCTATAGATTCAGATATGATATCAGCCAATACGCTTAATGTTGCCTGACACTTCTTATTATGTGATCCTGCTTTTTTCTGTTCAATCTAGAATCATGAGGGTTATCCCTTGCATTGGAATTAAGGTAATACTTAAAACACATTACTGCCAAAGTGTCCAAACCTTCATAATCAAGGCATTACATTGGTATTTGTGCGATGGATGTTCAAAGAAAGAAGTGGCCATGGATCCAGGTGCTGGTTGAGCTTCTGACTTCGGAAATGTTTTTTTCCCCCATGCAGATTCATCTTCCTTTATGGCAATGAGATTTTATTATTTTCTGTTTATAAACATTATAATTTGATTGTTCTGGTTTAACCTTGGTAGGCAGCTCAGCCACCCAGCCACTCGATCACTCCCCTGCGGTGGGATGGGGAAGAGAATCAGAAGGGCAAAAGTGAGAAAACTTGTAGGTTGAGATAAAGACAGCTTAATAGGTAAAGCAAAAGCTGCATGTGCAAGCAAAGCAAAATAAGGAATATATTCACTACTTCCCATCATCAGGCAGGTGTTTAGCCATTTCCAGGAAAGCAGGGCTCCATCACATGTAACGGCTACTTGGAAAGACAAATGCCATAACTCCAAATGTCCCCCCTTCCTCCTTCTTCCCTGCAGCTTTATATGCTGAGCATGACGTTGTATGGTATGGAATATCCCTTCGGTCAGCTGGGGTCAGCTGTCCTGCACCTCCAATCTTCTCACTGGTGGGGCAATGTGAGAAACAGAAAAAAAGGCCTTGACTCTGTGTAAGCACTGTTCAGCAATAACTAAAACATCCCTCCATTATCAACACTGTTTTGGTCACAAGTCCAAAACACAGCAACTTACAAGCTACTGTGAAGAAAATTAACTCTATCCTAGCCAAAACCGGTACAATCTCCACCCCTTATTCTTTACCATTTACGTCATGCTCAGGTCCCACACTATCCAATACATCCTCATTAACCAACCCCCTCCCCTTCCTGCCCTTTGATATGTACACAGATGTCATTCCCTTAGTCTATGGACCACCCCTGTATAATGTCCACAAAATGTCCTTTGAGTTCATTTAGTCCATGACTTTGGGCTCCATCTGTTATGGTGGTCACTCAGGACAGGAGAGGTGGTGTGTTGTATGGAGTTATTGTGCACCAAAGCCAGTTCAGTTTGGGTCACTGCTGCAATTGCACTGCTTCTTGTGAGGCTTGTCCTCCATTGGTTTGGGTGGTTCCTGCTACAGTGATTCCTATAACATGCAACTCAAATCACGGGTTACAACAATTTAAATGTATATCCATTACAACCTCCACCCCTGGTCCCTTTGGACAAGGCCATAGGGTTTAAGATTGTAATGAACTCCTCCCCTTGCCCTTGCTCCAGCGTGGACTTATCCACAGGCCACAGTCTCTTACAGGGGTATACCTGCTGCGGCGTGGACTTATCCACAGCTACAATCACTTTGAGGTGTACCTGCTCCAGTGTGGCCTTATCCATGGGCCACAATCACTTTAAGGATGTACCTGCTCTGGCGTGGCCTTATTTGTAGGCCACAATCTCTTAGCGGTGTATCTGCTCCCACGTGGCCTTATCCATGGGCCACAGTCCCTTCAGGGGTGTACCTGCTGTGTTGTGGCCTTATCCATGGCCACTGACACTTCAAGGTCACAAATCCAAAACACAGCACCTTACGAGATACTATTAAGAAAATTAACTCTATCCCAGCCAAAACCAGTACATTGACAGAAGTATTTTTGGTGTTTGTATCCCAGATTTTGTTTTACCACATAGATCAGCTTGTGGTCAAAACCTAACAAAATAAAAGAATGTAACTCTGGGTAACTTTCTTCTCCTTTTAAGCTGCTTATGCTTCATTGGGGAATCTGAGCCCACATGCTGCAATACTTTGTACATCACTTCATGCTTTTAGATGACTGTACGAGGTTTTAAGGGGCTTTAGCCCTCACATTTGTGCAGGCTGGTGTGGCATGCACTTAATTGTGACCAAGCAAATGCACAGCTGCCTCTCCCATTCTGATCAAGTTTGTGTCCTCTCATGTAATTGTTGGGGTCACTGCTTATGTGAAAATGTACTAAGAGAAAGTTTAAGCTTAGCTCAGTTGTTTTGAGCTTCTTTCGCTTTGAGGCTGTGGTGTAATTTTTTTTTTTTTTTTAACAGTATAATTATTCTTAAAGGTTTCACAATTTCTTTGGAGTTGCTTTGATTTGTTGCATTATTATAAATGTGTATTTGACATCTGGTAAATACACACTTCATGCTTTTAAAAAATGAAGTATGCTTTTAAAATCATACTCAGAGCAATGTGTACATAACAGTTACTATGTTTTCTTATTGGAAGAGAAATTACAAAATTGCTAATTATTCACCTATATGAATTCTACATAAACCCCCTCTGTGAGAAAAGTGCTGACACAGCTATCACTATAGCTGCATGAATACACTGAGTCTCTTTAATACAACACCTTGTTCCCATTCCTACTTTAAAAACTGAACTCCCAATAATGACACTCATATTCTCCTTTTCCTCATCATCCTCCCAGCTGCTCATAACCTAACTTCTTCTCCTTTAGCTCTCCTTGCCCTTCCTTTTCTCTTCACTGTTCACCTCATCTGCATTGGTGTCATATGATCTTTCCGAATGTCAAGTAAATGCAGACTGCAGCCAGCATTACCAAATTGCTTTCCTGCCAAAAAAGTCTCTTTTCATATGCCATGACCCATCAGCTCACAGTTAGCTGCAAGTCATTCTGATTCCCAAATTTACAGTATATTTTGTATTTAATGAGCTATTAAACATTATGCACTTTTTAACTTCATCTTTTCTGACTAACTGCATTCCTCCTGATAATTATAGCTTTAGAAAGAAACAATTAATTTGAAACCAATTCTGCAACAGAAGTGACATTATTTAGATAGCATTCCTCCATATCCATGCTCTAGGGATTATCTCATTAGAATATATTTATATTTGGAAACTCCTTGAGACCATTATATCAGTCCAATAGCCGCCATGTTGTTATCAATAATATAGACAAGACTACTACATATGTTATTTTAATAAAACACAAAATGAAAATAGATACGTGGATGGATGAGTAGTTAATTTTTGCTTTGACTAAATAAAAACAATCAGTTTATGCTCCTTTCTCCACCCCGGAAGAATGTTTTGAGTAAAGTTAAGCACAAACACAAATAATATTCCATATGTATTGCATAGATGTGGACATTTTGGAATTGGTATGTTACTCTCATGTATTCTTTTGATAATGGTAATATTCAATTTGTTAGAATAATTCTTTAAATTAAGTGGTTGTCTAATAAAAAGTTTGCAAAAATTGCAGGTGACTCAGTAACGATGAGTGAGTTCAATCTTTGTTGCTCACAGGTTCCATTACATCTGTGTTTTTATTAAATCCAATAATATCTGCTAGTTCAGGCTATTTAATCCTGGTTCTGCCATTTTTAATTATATCTAGTTAATGGATACAAACTAAATGCCGTAAATGTGCATGCATTCTGCCAATAGCTTAGCTTGTGGTAGATCCCAATAACCTTTCCATGAATTCTAATTTTTTTCTTCTCTGCTAC